GGGGTTTGGGCTCCGGCCCGGCGCTGCTTACCTGGAGCAGGTAGGTGAAGGCAGTTTTGAGTCTGTTAAGGTGTATATCCTCTCTCACCAACAGAAGTTCGTCCAATAAAAGATATTAGCACACCTATCTCATCTCTCTCATGAAGCAGTACAGACAGATGTTTGTTAAACCTAAAAAAAGCAGCTGAGTTAAAAAAAACAAAAAAACCACACCTGTCCCTACTTGGGCAACATACAGGCCCTGATTTCATATCTCAGCTAAGTGGTAGTGGAATCATGCTTTCCTTTTATGCTGGCTCAACAAAGTAATGGGGAAATCTGTTGGAATTAAATAAAATATGGCCTTTACCTTCACCCAAAACTTGAACCATACCAAAATTCAGCTTTGTTTAAAGTAGACTGATGTTTAAATGCATAGTAGCTAGCATGGCACTTTGTACTTCCTGGTATTGTCTAGACTAGAAGCTGTTAGTTGTGAAACCTGCAGGTGTTGGAACTGGCCTGTGATATATACAGCCCTGTTTCAGAGATACACTTTATTCAGTATTTTTCAGGCTAGAGATGACAAACATCCAGCCCAAGCCATCAAACTTTTTTTGGTCACACATCTGTAGTCTGCTGTGCCACAGTAAGCTGTCACTGGCACATTAGGTTTCGATTCAGCAACAATCCTTTGCATGTGACTTGGCTTCAGTGGGACTTAGGCACATGCTTAAATGCTTTTCTAAATCTGGGCCTCAGTTTCTTTTTAGTGTATGTTTAAACCCACAGCAGAAATGCTCAGACATAGGTGTGTCATGGTAATAACTAGAAATGTTAAGAAGCACCATGCAAAGAATAGGACTGTAAATAATATTTAAAGGGGACTGTAAATAATATTTACATTACTCCTTGCTTAAAATGTCTTTTGGATTTTGTCTCTATATCAAGTTTCTTTTTTTTCCCCCAGTGCTCTCACACATTGATTTGTGAATACAGGGGTGCTCACTGAAAGCTGAGCAGTTGGCATTCAGACTATCTCTCCCCTTCCTCCTTTCCTCCCCACCCCATGAAAAAGGTAATTAAAGTATAATTGTTCTTGTTTGGGGAGATGCTTTTCAGCAATTACTTGGACGTTGCAGATAGGTCTTTGAATAGATGCATAGATTGCAAGGCCAGAAGGGACCACTGTGATAGTCTGACTTCCTGTACAATGCAGGCTATAGAACTTCCCCAAAATAATTCCCTTTCCTTTAATTTATGCCTTATTCAATTTGACTTTGTCTAACTTCAACTTCCAGCCATTGGGTCGTGTTATACCTTTCTCTGCTAGATCAAAGAGCCCATCATTGTATATTTATTCCCCAGGTGGACACGAACAGACTGTGATCGTCACCTGTTAACCTTCTCTTTGTCTGTTAGGTATTTAAGATCAATTTTGGAATCTGCCGTCACGTGATGGTGGTGTACGCATCTGACATTTGGGCAGAAGAAGGTGATGCTGCTACTTTATGGTGATTCCAGACTAATGGAACTGGAAAATAAAGCAGACCTTATGTGTTAGGGGAAAGAATAACTGCCTAATTGTTTCAGTGACTTTTGGACACTTGATTCACCATGTGATTTCATGCTCTTAAGCTCTGTAAACATGTAAAGTGTTCATGTCAAGGTTTACTAGACAAATAGTTTCTGAACGTTATAGCTAGTGAACGTGAGAGAAAGAAATTAATTGGCCTGTATTTAGTTTGGTGTTGCTTCCGTTAAGCATTTCTAATGACTGATGTTAATTTGGCTGGTAACTAGGTCAGTGCTCGATTAACTTTATTACAGCAAATGAGGCAGAGTCTCATGACTAGGAAATCTTACTTACTTTGTTTTGCAATCTGATGGTGCAACATGTTTTGTTGAACTTCCATTTACACTGTTCCCCTGTGTGGGACGAGGGTGGAGTCTGCCTTGGCAAGTGTTTGAAATTAAAGGGTCTCTGCTTTCTGTTACCTTTCCCAAAACTGATCAAAAATTGCAAAACACTGATAAAATTTAAAGTATGCTAATGTCTAGATATGACCAGTTTCTGATGTGGAAGGGACACAACAGTTAAATCCAGCTATGCTTTTCACGATTTTTAAAATGTGCATTGTACTGTGTTTCGGAGTAGCAGCCGTGTTTGACGGCGATAAATCTAGATTTTATTTGCTAGGAAAGGGCTTTGTGTATTGCAGTTACGTAGTGGGAGCTACTCTGTGCATTTGGAATGAATCAGTTACTAATTGCTGCAGAGTGAGACATATGAAAGTTTTTTTTTTTTTTTTTTTTCCTCAGGGGTTTGGCTTCACTAGTCTTGGGCAGAACTGAAATACCAGCAGTGACGCTTTGTGCTTCCCTGTGTTGCCCTCTGAGCTCCAGTGGCTTCTCCTCCTTGCTGGCTTTCTGTCCCTTCTACAACTCCCAGCAGTCAGCTGATATAACCTGCCCCAGCTGCTGATCCCCTTCATGGTGGGGAGTGGAAGCATTAGCTACTCCGCACTGAACAACTGCAGCATACCTGCTCTTGTTCTTGTGGTAGAAGAAGAGAACCTTGTCATCATCTGACTGTAGCCCTGAGGCTATAAGGCAAGGCAGCCTCTTTTCAGACTGATCAGCTAAGCGTGGTGGGAGGGGCTGTATTTATTATACAGGACTTCCCATATTTCAGGGACTCTTTCATGTCCCTTTTTATGCACACACATAATATCTGTGGCAGAAGGAGGAAGAGCTGGCTGGCTTCTCCAGAGCCAGTTGGCCCCTAACCAGATGGAAGGAGTGGGTGGCTGGGAGAGGGGACTGCTAGGGAGTTGCAGGCTTGTGGAGCTATTTATCTTAGCAGCAAGAGTGAAGGCTCCTCTCTTGAGTAGCTTAGGAGTTTTGCATGGACACAGTTCTTGGCAGGCTCCATCTTCCATAAAGTGGCTCGTCTTATCCAGTTTGTCTTGGAGAAGCCCCTTAGCTCTTTTGTTTCCCCGGGAGGTGTAGGGAGCATTAGCACACCAGAGATGCTCCTGGAGGGTGCTCAGATACTAGGAGGATGAGAGCAGAAGAAGAACCTGTATGGAAAGAGGGAGATGGGAAGAACTGGCCCTCTAAGTGGGAGGCCCATGCACTTCCATAAAGCTGCTACCTTGTCCTAAATCCTTCCTTGAAACTCTGCTCTGATGTCTGCAAGTCCCTCCCATCTGGCATTGATTAGGCAAGCAATGTGCTGAGACTTCTATTTTCCTGTTTAACTCTTTGTTCTGTTACTTTGTTCTCCCACCCACCATATTTCTCTGTTGTGTGCTCAATGACACCTGGAACCTGAGCTGTTGGCATCAGGGACTGTCTTTGTTACTTGTCTGTACAATGCATAGCACAGTCATCCCTGATCCTTGATTGGGGTTCCTAGGCATTGCCATGTACAAACAAAAAACGATACAGATGGGTGCCGCTTCTGGTTTTAAGCACGCACATGGGAGATAGAGCAGCAGTAGTGGTACCCTGGCTAGTCTGGGAATATAGGGTAGTAACCTGGGAATGTGGGGAGCTCTCAGTGCTGCTTGCCTGCAACAAATTGAACGTACACATCTCTGCGAGTTGCCAGGGCACTGCCCCCTTTATGGGAGCAGAACTCCACTTCCAGTAATGTTCTGTATTTGTGAGAGTCAAAGACAGATGTGTGTGTGTGTGTGTGTGTGAAGCATCAGTGGGTTTACGTGACTGAAGGGGAAACCAGCCTACTGTGAAATGAGGCACCTATTTAAGAATGGAACTGCACGTGCTGTTACATTGACCTTTCCCAGCCAAGCTCTGTTGGTCGAGCTTTTTATTACTTTTCCCAAAACCTGTTTCGTTGCCTAAGGAGCCATCCCTAGGGGGTGTATGTTCGTGAGTTCTAGCCCAGCCTGCCAGCGGGGGGAAGAGGAAAGTCTTGACAGTTGGTGAAGATGATCTTATGTGATTATTCCGGGTGGCTCTAAAATAGCTTCCTTTCTACCACTATTTTTCCTCTGAGTTTTCGGGAAAGTGAACTTTTCCTTTTTCAGTTTCACTGGCAGTACACTCTGGGAGTTATTTTTCTTTTCTGATTCTTTCTTTGAACTTCTCTGAATTTTGTCTCTTACCTGTGCTCACCATTCTCTCTTCATTGTGTCAGGTCTGGCAACTAGAGCTGGTTGGAAAACAATTTCGAGGAAAATCTCAACTTTTCAAAAAATGTCCCCTTACTCTGCTGGCTGTTGCCTTCCTTGGAACTATCCCTGTCTTTGGAGCTCCGTCTTGGCAGCAGCCCTAGGTCTCTGGGGTCCCCCTTCCCTCTCCCCTAGTCCTTCTACCTAGATCTGCTCAAATCTTTGCAGACCTTGAGACAATTTTTCATAAATTTTGAGAAGAAAAAAAAATTTGTAAAGTTTTTCTTGTCAACCAGCTTTACTCCTCCAGAGCAAGGGAAGTGAAGGGAGAGACAGAAAGGAAGTGGCAAGCGGCTGACTAATTCCCCTTCTTTCCCTGACTCGCTCACGTCTCTCAGCTGCACTTCGCAAGAAACTCACATCCTTTTTGGTTGGTGTTGGGCCTTGTCTGTGATTTCCCTCCTGGAGGCTGGATTATTACAACACAGTCCTCTTAAGGGCCACCCTTTCAATCCGTCATGAAACTGCAGCTAGTACAGAAGGTAACGGCCCATGCATTAATTAAGCAGTATTTTACAGAGGTCCCATCACACTGGTGCGCTGTGCTGGCTACCGGTCAATTTCAGGATGCAGTTGAATGTTAACTTTGACATATAAAACCCTAATGATTTTGGTCCCACATACCTGAGAGAGATCAGTCCTCCCTGCACAGTACTGTTGCTGGTTCAAGGCACTGGCATTCAGATCCTGAGCAATATAAAACTCTGAGCTCCAGTGCCCACTAGTGCTTGGCAGACAGGGATTTACTCAGGATGGAGCTGCGGGTAAGGAATTCTTAGTCCCAGTCTCTTGAACGTCCTACCTTTTTTGATTCATTAGGGCCCAGACTTGGGTTTTGGAGATGCTGTTCATCATACCTGTTTTCCCATGGAGTGAGTGGTGATGGCAAAGGGGTTGCTGACGCTTAAGAAGTTTTCACGCATGGATTTTAAAATGTAAGACTTTTCAGAGGTGTTTTGTATGTTTCAAGCTATTTTTGTGGTGCTTAATGTGCCGAGGGTTTTAGGTAGGTGGATAAAATAGAAATTAAATAAATAAGTAAATAGCTTAGTCCAGTCTTTTATGCCGCTTTCTGGGTTTCTCGGGACTCATGTTGAGTCAAAACGCAGTGGGCCAGATCTTCAGCTGGTGTAAACAAGTATAGTCCCATTGGTTGGAGCTATCCCAGTTTATAGCATCTGAGAATCTGGCCCAGCAGGGATTTGTTCTCATTCTCTGTTAGCTGTTCAGATGCCTGTTGATGTCTGTCTGCCTTCGCAGTGCCAGGCAAGGTCATTTTCCAGCAACTCCCTTAGGGCCTTATTGACCAGATAGATTTGGAATGGATTTACAAAATAGTTTGGCATGACCGTAAATCTCTGTGAATCTGGTTTACATTTGAGAGTGGGCATTTAAACTATTGCATTAATGTATCTGGGTCAGCAAGTAAGCCATCTCTGTTCAATTTATGTCTAATATAGATAACTTCTGTAAGGCCAATTATAGCCTTTTAAAATTCAGTGCTAGGGGTTCTCTTTCTGCAAAATCTTGCTTAAATCTTTCATTGTGTTTTTTAAAGTTTCTAAATCCAAATTAAACCATCATCTGTTATAACTTCAGCACCTTATAATATCTTTGAAATGCCCAGGAGTAGAACTAATGTGGAACAATATTTGCTTAAATCTATTATCATGTCCAGTTCTGTGAAGACACTGCATTAGAGCTTGACTCAACTAACATTACTTGCCAAAACGCGCGTCCAGTGTGTGCTACTGAAAATATTTTGGTTTCCAAGGCTGCCAGTTCAACAGCATTCATTGCTGAGTGGATCGATTTCAATAAAGTTGATTTTTAAATCAAGGCAATTTAAATCATGGTTTAAATCACCAAGTGGAAAGCCTCAGTTCAAATAATCAATTTTAATCAACTTTTCCGTTTGTTCTTCAATTATTTTGTAAAGAAAGGGGCATTCTCATTGGTTGATATAACCATTAAATATATTGATTTAAAGCTAAATAGAGCTTTTAGACTAGATTTGGTACATCTTTTTGTTAGCCAAGAGGGTACACTATAACAATATACATTTATTTAAGAAATTTTAGAGGTTAATATTTTCATATTCTTATTAATTATACATTTTAGTATGTTAGAAAATTGTGAATAATATATTGCTTATTAACTGCATATTTAACCTTTTGCTTATGATTTGTGTTAAGCTGCATTAGGATAGTAACAGAAATTTAATTAAACACAAAATAGCACACAGAATATATTTTTATTAAACAAAACAAACTTAAATGTTTTGGATACATAAACTTTTCTTTTAAAAATATGTTTCACATTTACAACTAAACAATTTATTAAACAGAGGGATCAACTGGAGATAGTGTATTAAACTGATTATTTCAGGTCAGCCTGTAAAGTGACTGGAGCTTTAAGTTTCTACTTGCCTAAGTCTCTTGAAAATGAGACAGTGATTTCCTAAGTTGACTGCCTTCAGACTTTTTCAGCAAAGTCTGGTTCCAGGTGCTTAGCTAGTGACTTCCATCAGTTCAGTGGTGCTACTTTCTTTAAAATATTATCAGCAAACATGTACAGCCCTGAAATTTATTATGCTTGACAGGACTGAATTAGATGCTCATGTCCTAACAGTATCTTCTTCTTCAACAGTTTGGCAACTAATTTTGTACTTTGGGTTGTGAATGTGGCAAGAAAATGGGGTGGAGTAAGTACTTGGTCCATCCGGTTCTTTACTATCTGTCATTTAACTTTGTTATTGAGTATTTCTTTCTTCAGTGTCTCTTGAAGTTCTTTTCAAATTTCAACAACAGCAGCAATCTGTCTGCAGTTTGTCTCAGGCTATGACAGTCGGTTTCAGTGTATTCAGCATAGCTTATACATTTCTCTTTAGCCTGCTGTTGATTAGTTCCATGTATTTTGTCACAATTTGCTTCCAAAATTATCATCGGAAACAGCCAGTTCTTCATAAATAGATCACAACAGTCAACCACTGAGTTCCATCTTACATTGTGAGGGAGAATTAACTTGGATTCTCTTCTCTTCGGTGAAGCTAAAGCAAAGTGGTTGTCACAGAAGTATTTTGCAATTTTAGCAATATTTTCCTTAGTTCCTGGAGTTATACTTAGGTCGCTGGCTAAAAGATACATCAAATGAGCACTGAATGCATGTGTTCTAAGCTTCAGGTTCCCTCCATTATTTTCTACTAGATTTCTTCTCATCTTGGCAGCATTGTCTGCGACAAAGCTACTTACTTGACACTAAAAGAAAAGGAGTACTTGTGGCACCTTAGAGACTAACCAATTTATTTGAGCATAAGCTTTCGTGAGCTACAACTCACTTCATCGGATGCATACTGTGGAAAGTGTAGAAGATCTTTTTATATACACACAAAGCATGAAAAAATACCTCCTCCCACCCCACTCTCCTCAGCTCTCGTCCCCTAAAGCCCCTACTCTACTTGCGCTATATTGATGACATCTTCATCATCTGGACCCATGGAAAAGAAGCCCTTGAGGAATTCCACCATGATTTCAACAATTTCCATCCCACCACCAACCTCAGCCTGGTCCAGTCCACACAAGAGATCCACTTCCTGGACACTACAGTGCTAATAAACAATGGCCACATAAACACCACCCTATACCGGAAACCTACTGACCGCTATTCCTACCTGCATGCCTCCAGCTTTCACCCTGACCACACCACACGATCCATCGTCTACAGCCAAGCTCTGCGATACAACCGCATTTGCTCCAACCCCTCAGACAGAGACAAACACCTACAAGATCTCTGTCAAGCTTTCTTACAACTACAATACCCACCTGCAGAAGTAAAGAAACAGATTGATAGAGCCAGAAGAGTTCCCAGAAGTTACCTACTACAGGACAGGCCTAACAAAGAAAATAACAGAACGCCACTAGCCGTCACCTTCAGCCCCCAACTAAAACCCCTCCAACGCATTATTAAGGATCTACAACCTATCCTGAAGGATGACCCAACACTCTCACAAATCTTGGGAGACAGGCCAGTCCTTGCCTACAGACAGCCCCGCAACCTGAAGCAAATACTCACCAACAACCACATACCACACAACAGAACCACTAACCCAGGAACTTATCCTTGCAACAAAGCCCGTTGCCAATTGTGCCCACATATCTATTCAGGGGACACCATCACAGGGCCTAATAACATCAGCCACACTATCAGAGGCTCGTTCACCTGCACATCCACCAATGTGATATATGCCATCATGTGCCAGCAATGCCCCTCTGCCATGTACATTGGTCAAACTGGACAGTCCCTACGTAAAAGAATAAATGGACACAAATCAGATGTCAAGAATTATAACATTCATAAACCATCGGAGAACACTTCAATCTCTCTGGTCACGCAATCACAGACATGAAGGTCGCTATCTTAAAACAAAAAAACTTCAAATCCAGACTCCAGCGAGAAACTGCTGAATTGGAATTCATTTGCAAATTGGATACTATTAATTTAGGCTTAAATAGAGACTGGGAGTGGCTAAGTCATTATGCAAGGTAGCCTATTTCCTCTTGTTTTTTCCTACCCCTCCCCCCCAGATGTTCTGGTTTAACTTGGATTTAAACTTGGAGAGTGGTCAGTTTGGATGAGCTATTACCAGCAGGATAGTGAGTTTGTGTGTGTATGGGGGTGGGGGGGATGTGAGAAAACCTGGATTTGTGCAGGAAATGGCCCAACTTGATTATCATGCACATTGTGTAAAGAGTTGTCACTTTGGATGGGCTATCACCAGCAGGAGAGTGAATTTGTGTGGGGGGGGTGGAGGGTGAGAAAACCTGGATTTGTGCTGGAAATGGCCCAACCTGATGATCACTTTAGATAAGCTATTACCAGCAGGACAGTGGGGTGGGAGGAGGTATTGTTTCATATTCTCTGTGTATATATAAAGTCTGCTGCAGTTTCCACGGTATGCATCCGATGAAGTGAGCTGTAGCTCACGAAAGCTCATGCTCAAATAAATTGGTTAGTCTCTAAGGTGCCACAAGTACTCCTTTTCTTTTTGCAAATACAGACTAACACGGCTGTTACTCTGAAGCTTATCTAAAGTGATCACTCTCCTTACAATGTGTATGATAATCAAGTTGGGCCATTTCCAGCACAAATCCAGGTTTTCTCAGAACAGTGGTTCTGTTGTGTGGTATGTGGTTGCTGGTGAGTATTTGCTTCAGGTTGGGGGGCTGTCTGTAGGCAAGGACTGGCCTGTCTCCCAAGATTTGTGAGAGTGTTGGGTCATCCTTCAGGATACGTTGTAGATCCTTAATAATGCGTTGGATACCACACAACAGAACCACTAACCCAGGAACCTATCCTTGCAACAAAGCCCGTTGCCAACTGTGCCCACATATCTATTCAGGGGACACCATCACAGGGCCTAATAACATCAGCCACACTATCAGAGGCTCGTTCACCTGCACATCCACCAATGTGATATATGCCATCATGTGCCAGCAATGCCCCTCTGCCATGTACATTGGTCAGACTGGACAGTCTCTACGTAAAAGAATAAGTGGACACAAATCAGATGTCAAGAATTATAACATTCATAAACCAGTCAGAGAACACTTCAATCTTTCTGGTCATGCGATTACAGACATGAAAGTTGCAATTCTTCAACAAAAAAACTTCAAATCCAGGCTCCAGCGAGAAACTGTTGAATTGGAATTCATTTGCAAATTGGATACAATTAATTTAGGCTTGAATAGAGACTGGGAGTGGCTAAGTCATTATGCAAGGTAACCTATTTCCCCTTGTTTTTTTCCTCCCCCCTCCCCCCCAGACATTCTTGTTAAACCCTGGATTTGTGCTGGAAATGGCCCACCTTGATTATCATACACATTGTAAGGAGAGTGGTGACTTTAGATAAGCTATTACCAGCAGGAGAGTGGGGTGG